TCGCGCATGCCCCCGCCCCCGCCCCGGCTACCTGTGTCGTCGGTTACACATGCCGTAGTGCCACTGCTTGATTGTCACATTACAACTGACAGCTCACTGGCTTAGCAGGAAGCGAGCGACAACTCAGCGAAAGTACTTTGAGCTTATTCACTTAACGCTGAGGGGGGAAGACAAAAATATTTCTGCTACTGACTCAAGCAGATTTTTTCACTCCAAACTAGCCAGCAGACATCAGTTGTGGCTAAAAAGTCTTCTCGACTTGCCCCTTGGTCGGCATTTGTTCCTTATCAGAAATAGAACGCAAAGGACTGAAGTAAAGGGCAGTTGACAAGGTTACACCTTTCAGTCACACTCAACGGGACCGTCATTGATTGTCGGCATTATTTACTGTACGCGCAACAGAGTCATCTAGCTTGGTGATTCCCAATCAAGTGGGATATTATCCAGTTTCACACTTACTGTATGTAATGTACATTACATATACACTTTTGTGTGATTTTTTTTTTGGGGGGGTGGGGGGCTTTAACCCTTTCAAGGGACAGCGTTTACTACAGTGGACAGTTTATCAGGTTGTCAGGTTAGAGGTTATCATTATTTGTGCATGAATACATACATTTGGTTGCCAGGAAAGTTTCAACAGTTTTAGGGTATTTTCACGTAAGACAAGGCATATGTTTTACAGTTGAAAATCTCACGGAAAACAACAAAAATGTCCCAAAAAGCTACTAGTATACTGCATTTGTGGTCGTCGCCAGCAGATGAACAAAAATTAAGTGAAATTTTACAATTTCCCGCAGAATACATCACCGGTCTAACACTGAAATCTGACTCGTGTCTCTCATTTCATTCAACCTCCAGCATCAAATATTCACTGCCTGCCTTCAAGCGTGATGTCGAGAGAGGATCACATGACCCGGATGAACGGCTGTTTCTGTGACCTTGACAGCTTTAAACGACAACAACAAAAATGGTCTGACACGCTGAAGGAGCGCAAACACTGTAATCGCCGTCCAGCCGAGGGCTGAAGTCTTTGTCAACAGGTCGAAATGTTTCTTACTCCTTATGAGCTTTTACAGTTCGCCGTTCCATTTTGTGACTCATTGCCATATGCGCTCACTGCTTTCTGCGAGCTAATTGAGGCTAGTCAGATGACAGGCCGCTAAGCTGCGTAAATTTTGTTATGAAATGTTTTTTTTCTACTGATGGGTAATCAAATACAAAAAAAAAGAATAATAATTAAAATTGTGAACCGCTGAACACACTAATTGCACTTGTAGCATAACAGTTTTTAATCCAGCAGTAAGGAAAGACTAAATCACAACCGCTGAGTTGATTATTATTCAATTGAATATTTTAATTATTATTATATGAAATTTGCGCAACCCAAAAATGTTTTTTAGACTCGTCACGGATCACTGTGACAAAAAAGTGACATTCCGACCAGACAGAATTGGTGTCGATGCTAATGCCAATGCGAATATAGTCAAAACGTCACCGTGTTGTTATGCAGCTAGCATTTCATCTTTTAATTCTCTTAAAAAAAAAAAAAAATCACTTCATTTATAAAATACATCAATTGTTAAAAAAAAAAAAAAAAAAAT